GACAGTTTCTCCCCTAATAAAACAAGCAATTCCATACGTATTTTAGCTACTTTTTTAAACATCTCCTAAATCTTAAAAAACATAAAAAAACCCTAGAAGCCATAAAAAACTTTACCCAAAAAAATAACCCTAGAAAATCTAAAAATACATCCTTAAAATTTAATGAGGAAATTAAAAAACAATAGGCATGTTGTCTTGCATCATTCTCCCTTGGTTGAAAAAACTCGTCCTCGAGTTTTAAAATAAGGTAAGATCGAATTTGTGTTAGTCCAGCAACTGTCGTCAACCTGAATATTGAAAACACGATTTTGGAACTTGTGGGTTATTGGACTAATCAAAACACGACTATCACACATTGAAAACATAGTCTTTGCCATCAGTTGATATATTTTTTTGGGTAAATCAGTGAGGGAGAAGGCCCTTTACCTGTACTTCATTAATAAAAGATAGAAAAAAATTACATTGTACTATCTTACAACCCTACAATAGGGTAATTGCACCACATCATGAAGTAAAGAAAGGTTAAGAAAATCTAGAGGCCTAGAGCACCAAATGTTGGCCTCCGCAAAAACTGTAACCTTTTTGGCAAGAACATTGACCACCATATTAGCCTCATGGTAAACATGGCAAATGGACCATGAATGATTCTCAAGTCTAGACTTGCAATTAGCAGCTATGATATGAAGAGCCTATGGAGCTTTACACCTGCCCTGTATGACTTGGACAAGTAAGGAAGAATCATTCTCAATTTACAGGGGGAAGCATTCTATTTGACTGGCTAAATCAACACCCTCTTGTAAACCTCGAAATTTTGCTTATTGGAAGCAATTCCAAGAGGAATCAAGAAAGCAGCAACAAAAGTCTATCATCCCGTCTCAAGATGCCCCCATAACAAGTTTGACCTGGATTCTAAATAGAAGACCCATCACTATTTAGCTTAAAATGTTGTGAATGTGGAAAAGCCCATGCCATTGTTATGGGTAACATGATCCTTTGTTGCCGCCACGTAAGTCGTAAATTCTTAGCAATTGCCTTTTTTTGAGATGTGGTAAGTCCATGCTTTAGCATCTTACCAAATCACGAACATGGTAGGTGATCCTTCGAATCAACTTCTCAAGAGTGAGTGTCCTTCCTTGAAACATACGGTGGTTCCGCTCTTACCAAATCATCTATATAGTTGTGAAGAAGAGAAAATGCCAAATGTTGATAATACCATCAAACTTGAACCTGAATGCTAACCATTTCTGCAGTGTAGCTGCAATAGAACAATCTGTAATAAAGCGTTGTGCACATTGCCATGCTATCGACGTCCAAATCCCCTACGAGAAAACACATGCAAGCATTTTCCACATTGCCATGCCATCAGTTGATACTTGATATATCCATATGCACTTTTGAGAGCCCTTTAAGGAAAGGGTCATTGTATGTCGATGAATTACCGTGATATGTTCACTCGGTTCAATCACAATAACTAGCTAAAATTGCATCAGTCTAGCCATATAAACCTGCTGAAATTGCCTTGGTTCAGCCCTAAAATAGACCAAGGGAGCACCTTCAAGATGATCATGTCCAACCCCCTATTCACTAACCAAATCAGCAACTTCCTCTTCCAAAACTTCTTCATCTTCATCTTGACCATTGTCATCTTCCTTAATTTCACCCGATTCTTCATCAAAAATTGGATCACTACCTTCTTCATCTGAATACTAATCAAAGACAAGGGGAGAATCCAAAGCAATGACCTGCTGATTTTTGAAGCAATTTGATGAGAAATTATTTAGGTTTAATTGATCTTCCTCTTCTACCTTAGGTTCCTCATGATAAACAGGGTCTCCATCAAAAGAGAGCTTGCTGTCCTTTTCAAGTAACTCCTCTGAGAGGTTCAAAAATTTTCTATTCAGGCACTAAGAGGAGACATGGCTGACTCAAGAACACTCATAGCACTTAAGGATGCTACTGTGTGGGCGACTAGAACTGGCCCGAGCATCCACTATATCTTACTGTTGGATGGGCCAGCAGGTTGTGGGGGTTGTCCAGCCACCAAATTCCCACCTTTCCCCTTAAATTTACTCCCACGGCCAGTTGTATTACCCTGGGCTGCGCCCCACTTTCATGATGAATGCCTCCACTGAGCTCCAATTTTCACTGCTAGGTTTCGAGCCTTATCTAATGTCCAATAATGCTGCAAAACCACATGTGGTAGAGATGTTCCCAGCCCACCAAAATAGCTAGCTAAGAAATGTCCCCCTATCGATTACATTATTATGATCAACTCATAAAAATTGATCGGTATACTCCTCTACACGCCTTTCTTCCTGATGAAGATTATTTATATTATGTGATAAAGGGACTGCAAATGATTTTCAGGTAGGTAGTCTTTCTTTAGTTTCTTTTTCATCTTCTCCCAAGTATTAATTTTGGGCTTTCCCATTCTCTCCCTTTTAGCCCTAATTTGTTCCCACCATACCGAGGCACTTTTCTTCAATTTTATAGCAATAATTTTCTACTTTTTATTTTTGGAAACCTCCTTATAATCAAAAACCCTTTCTATAGTATTTAACCAATCTATAAACTCCTTGGGTTGAGGCTTACCATCAAAATCTGGTATATCCACCTTCAAATCGATATCCCTAGAGTTACATTCTACACATCTAGATCTTTTGTCGCTATCCTCACCACTTGACTCCGCATGTGGAGAGGGACGGTGAAAAGGTTGTAGTTGATATCTTCTTGGGCTGAAAGATCACCATTTTGCCCATGATAGATACTTGTGAAATGTTATGTCAGCTGCTGGACTTGTCTTTTGTCTTCCTCAATTTCTTCATCTCTAGGATAACAAAGTGGATCTGTGAAAACCCCTTCCATGGCCCCTTCTCGTTGTCATGGGTTTGTCGAAATAAAAAACCATAGGTAGAGAATCAACAGACATTGCTGAAATCTGCAAGATGTAGTCTCATTTGGCAAAACTTGTCCCAAAATCAGCAAAATCTAGACTTGGCTGTATTTTCCTGGCCTTCTTGTTGAACAAACTTGATTTGTGATACGAAATTGATGTAGGAAAAAGTAACAAGCAATCAAGCCAAACACTAGCAATAACGCGGAGAAACCGTAGGGTTTCTTCCTCATCCCCAAGCTAGGGTTCAAAAGTTTGCAGCTTTCACTCTTTCGTTTTTGAAAACAAAGTCATGTGAAATGACCTGTCTATGGCCCACACTCCTCTTAGTAATAATATTTAACGTTCAAGGACATTAAATGTCCATACCATAACTAAAATGACAAAAAAAGTCCCAACGTGAAAGAAAATCTGTAACGGCACTTTTATCCCTAATAAAAAAAATTTTGAATAAGTATTCTAATCACTTTTCTCAACATCTAAAATCCTAAAAATTATGAAAAATCTAGAATCCTTAAAAAAACCCTAAAATAATATCCCTATAAAAAATCTAAAAATACATCCTTCAAATTTAATAAGAAAAATTCAAAAACAAGAGGCATCTTGTCTTGCATCAGATGCAGAAACAACAACCCAAAGTTCAGGCTCCCTTCAGTATCATGTACTTGATCTCCTAGAAGAGAAATAAGCGAGTGTAACTAATAAATGAGTATGAGAAACAAAGAATACAATCACACACACCACAAGAACACATAATATAAATGGTTCATCCCCAAAGGTGATACATCCACAGACATGGCAAATTGAAATCTACTATTCAAAAGAGTTACATCATATACTTTAGGATTCAAAAAGTATCTCTCTAACCCTCAAAGAACTCGGTCAAGTAACCTGCGAAATCACTCTCCAAACAGAGATTACCCTGCCATCATCCTTCTCTCTAACTTGTCAACTATTACTTAATACACTAAACAGATATGCGAGAGCAACAAGAAACCGACTTTCTCTTTATAGTGGGGATACTCAAAATCTATATGGGAACCACTTCTCTACAAGAAACAAACCTCTCTATTATCCTAAGGCACGGTTACACCATGTCTCTCTACAAGCTCACCTCTCTCTCTAGGGACGCCTTCAGGGCGCCTCCTCTGTGCAAGAGGTCTCCACCTTCTAGAGGGAAGTCCACCTTTCCCATATGGGGCCCTCTAGGACACCAAAGACCACATCCATGAAGGCCTTATATAGACCTTTAGTAGGTTTCATATCTTCCAGATATTTCCCCAAAATTTAGGATTCACATCCTCACGAATATGGAAACTTAATCAATCACAATTTTACTTGGGATTCAAGATGAATCTCAACACATGGCTGGAATTACCCTTTGGATTGGTGGAGACATTAACTTCTGCATGATAAATCAAGACATGCAGGACTTGTAAATTCAGTTTCAAATTATTTGATTCTCTACAAGCTGACTCATTTTCAACTATTTTTAGGTAAGAACAAACATGGTTTTATGCACATAACATGGGATGTGAAAATCAGATGATGTGGATAAGTGAACTGAATCAAAATGATAAATCCTTTGAAAGATAAATGTGAATGAATTTATGCAAACTTGGATGTCGAAGTAGAAAAGGATCTGGTATCAACATTAGATGATATTTGTGGGAAACTAAAGTATAGGGACTCTGATTGGAAGTTCCTACTGTCTTTGGGGTTGGGGTGCGGGGTGGGCGTGGTATTTGGGGGATGGGGATTTGTGTTTAGACACATGGAGTTTCCAATTGTACTATGTAATAGGTGAGAGCTTCTTGAATTGTGTATTATCTGTGTGCAGTGACACTCATTAATTATAAGGTAAAATCTGTTCTGCTTTGTAAAGAGGAGTGGTATTAGTCAATGGCGATTTTTCGTATCGATATGAGTCTGATTAGTTACATATTTTGCTTGATTAATTACATATTTTACTCATTGACTGACTCATGCAATGATTCACTTTGAGAGGCATGCAACCATCCCAATTTGCATTATTTTCCATGTTAAACTATAATGCTTTCACGAAGAAATTAAAGTTTACATGTTGTCTAAACATTCATTTTTGCAGACAAATATCTCAGATCCTGGATCTTCAAATGTTTCTGGATGCAGCTCGTCCAAAGAGGAGATGAATAAAAAAGATTCAGGTTTGTCAGCAATTATGCATGGAGACATACATCTATGCATGCATTATGTACGCATATATTATGTGTTTCTGTCTACACAAGTATGTATATTTTGGTATTTGCATGCATGTGGCCAACATTAGGTTATGTGTGAATCAGAAATTTACACTAACTAAAAGTGTTGTGTGAAGTTGTTGCCAGGGCTCATGATAGGTAGACCATCTACTTTTATTTTAAGCATGCTTATACTAGTGGATATTTTGATTGGGTTGGAGTCAAAGTTGTGCTCAACTTTAAGGAAACTTCAATCTGCTCCTGATATTGTGAAAGAGTGAACTTATCAGAATGGTTAACTAGAGTGCCAAGTCGTAACCTTTACATCTGTTGCAAATGTTGCCAAACAGTTGTCGAAAATTGTCAGAGTAATGACACTGAATGTAAACATAAAGGTCATGTCTACTTATTAAAAAAAAAAACATAAAGGTCATGTCCATTCTCATATTTCTTTGTATATTCTTTGCAAACTCTTTTGGCTTTGCTTATTGTCGGACTTGTATGTGCATTGCTGTGACTCAATGTTTATTTCACTCCGTAACTGTTACTATATGAATTTTTTGCCCTCTTTCTAATTGTTAAATGTGTAAAATTTTCAAGCATATGTAGTTGATTAGTTATACTTGCACGGGCACTACACACAGAACCATTGCCTGTTTCAGCAGGTCAAGAAATCAAGCGTAGAAAACGACAGAGGAGAAAGCACTTCGAAGACCGTGAAGAATGCATAATGAGGGGTGTATATTTCAAGAATATGAAATGGCAGGCAGCAATAAAAGTGGACAAGAAACAGATTCACTTAGGAACTGTTGGATCACAAGAAGAAGCAGCCCACTTATATGACAGGTGACTAATTCCACTCTTATACCCTTATTTGGTGGCTGAAGACAATGTGCTTGGGTTGTAGAAGGGAAAATTTGGTTTGATTACAGATATTTTTTGTATTATTACTAATTAGCTGTAAAATTAAAAGAGATAAAGAGAAGTTGTATAAGCATGATGAGTTATGATTTTGTTTCATGCCCCAAAACACCAATAAAAAGAAACCATGTGATTTTAAAGTTCTATTTTTCCTTTCCTGAAGATCAGTTGAGTTTACTCGGCTTGAGAGTATGCCAAGTCTGCTGTGGAATTTGTTATACATTTGATATTTTTCTATGTATGTGGTTGAGTGCTTGGATTCAAATTTGAAGATAGTGTTGATCCACTTAAGCTAGACTTTCAACAATCAATGGATCATAATAATGGGGTTTTAGCCCATGGAAATAGGTTGCTAGTTTTAAAGAGGCAAATTTTCTATGTGTGGGGTTTGGCAATGTTACTTGCTCGGGGAATGCCATCTGATATGTTTCGTTGAGGTGGGGCTGGATGCATTGTCATAACACCAAGATCAACAATCTAGGTAAATAAACCTAGATACTTATATTTTTTCATTGTGGTATATCAATACATTGCAATTATCATTACCAAGCACTAATCTTACATACAAATATAATGTTGTGTAAGCTGAGTATACCATGAATGAAGTAGTAAAATATGTAGGATAATTCCGATATTTTAAACTTAAATGTATCTAAAGTAAAATTTCTGATATGATATCTAAACTATGACGTGATAATGGCAATGTTCCCATTTGGACTGCCCATCTCTCTTATTGGCAATGTTCCTGTTTTGAGTTACCTCTCACTTGTAGACAAAAAAATCCTGCTTTGACAGTCATATTTTAACACCTACCTTATTATGTTTTCTGATTATTTTGATGTACCCCATCTGTAGCAAGGCCAGCTTGTGCCGGAGTGAAGCTTCCCAAATTTGCCCCTCCTTCCACAGCTTTTGCTGGAAAAGGAAAAAAAGAAAAAAAAAAAGAAAAGAAACGAAAAAGGATTTTGTAAAAATATCTTTCTTTGTTTATTGTGCTAAAATATCAGTATTTTAGGGAACCACTCTTTTGCTGCTCCTTTTTTCTACTAAACAAGAGGTCCGCTCGTTCTAAATGCTGATATATCTCATGAGGAACTTTCTTCCTTTTAGAAGTCCTTCAAATTAAATGCAGTTGATTTGATCACCAATATTTTATGAGCATTATTCTTTTATTTAGAAAGGTAAGATATTGGGGTTCCATGTACCTGCATCCTGCAAGCATCACTCTTTAAAAAAATAGTGGTTTCTGGAAGGAGGAGTGCATATTCGGGAAGTTCCATAACAACATAATCTGTTATTAATATGGAAGGGAGATTCAAGAAGATCAGAACCTTTTAAACAACGTGTTAAAATACAAATCTGATAGAAGGGTTGCCTGTTCTTTAAGCACATAAGATCTACATAAATACCGTTTTGTGAATTTTACAAATATCCCACAGGTATAAAGAATAGAAATACCAGCTACGTAACAAGTAACCCAAGCTGATCACTAAACAGTTGGGCCATGAAAGTTAGAAGGCATAGCATGTGTGTATCCTTGGAATGCCACTAGGAGTAGATGTTGCAAACCCTGGGTTAATTTGGTTTGTGAACCCTGTCATTGCGTAATCATATTTATCATGTTAATAAAAGTTTATCATATTTATCACTGTTGCTTCCTTTTACCTAAGCCTCTTCTCTCTTCCTTCCCCCCCTGTGGCCCTTTCCTCCATTGCCGCCAAGGCCTGGTGCTCCTTTCTACCCCCCAAAATCCAATTCTTTACCTGGATAACACTCCATGAAAGGAACCTTACCCTTGACCAATGACAACGAAAGGGGGTATCACTGCCAAACAGATGCATTATGTGCTGCGCCCTGGAAGTGACCAATCATCATCTATTTATTCATTGTGAAATGGCCTCGGTGCTCTGAAACGACCTCCTCCTCCTCTTTCATTGGCTGTGGGTAACTCTCCAGTCTGCCCCTCGTCTCTTCTCATCCTACCTTTGCACCCCTTGGAAGAATTCTGGGAACCTCCTCTAGAGAGCTTCTATATCTGCCACGTTATGGGTCACTTGGATTGAAAGAAATAATAGGATCTTTAGAGGGGAGAGGGCCTCCATTTCTTCTCTTATCGAGAAGAGAAGGTCCCTTCACGTTTTGGGCCCTTAATCACAAAAGCTTCTCTCATTATTCCTTCACGGATACCCATCAGCAATGGCAGACTCTTCTCAGTCTTAGGACTTCGAGGATACCACGGGCTTCCCTGTGGAGACTGCCATCACCCAGGGTGATCAAGCTCAGAGCTCAATTTTGACGGTTGCTCCCTAGGCAACCTGGGCCCCTCCGGGGCAGGAGGCTTGTACAGGAACTCGGATGGCCTAACTCTCCTTTCTTATGCTGTGCCTATTGGAATGGCGGACTCAACTTATGCCGAGGCCATGGCCTTGCTTGAGGGCCTCAGAGGATACGACCCCAACTGGAACTCTCAAGTACTGGTTGAAGGGGGACTCTAGTAACACCATTGCTTCGCCTCTGGCTCTGTCCTGTGGCCGTGGAGACTAGACAGTATCTTTGCAGAGATTCATCACATTTGTTCCTCTTTCAATATATCCTGTTATATACCTATAGAGAATCTAATGCAGATGCACTAGCCAGGGAGGGAGCTTGCTCAACCCCTCATACGGGCCTATAGTCTAGCTTAGGATTTCATTTTTAATGCTTATTTCTTGGCCCACTTAGGGGTTTGTAAAGGCCACCCAGTTTTGGGGATGGCCTAACTGTTTCCTGCTTATGCATTGTACCTAGTATATTCTATCGATATAAATAATCAACTTTCTCCAAAAAAAAAAAAACGAACCAGGTGGCACTGTCCTTAGAAGCAACACTAATTTCCTTCCATTTATCCTAACGATGTAATAATATTCGAGAGAGAGGGATTAGAGGCTGACGGTTTTCCTAAATAGAAATTAAGAGGCATCTTGTTTATGTCCCATAGCAGCATTACAAGCGCATCTGATCTCTTCATGTAATTTGTGAGTCCATAACTGCAAAACAGGAAAGGGCAACAACCGGAGAAAACCCACTCGATGATCGCCACTGTTCTATGAGCTAAAGAGGGAGAGGGAGCTGAACGAGAGGCAGGAGATATGCAGTGAAACCACACTAACCAACAGCAAGACAGTAGTGCGAATATGTCTTTTTTGAAACTGACATTAGTGAGAATATGTTCACTACATAAACTACAATGTGAATCTCTCCATAGATCAACCACCCATTGATTCACCTTTATTGAGAAGAATCTTTCTTTCACAATTGATGTCCCAACTTCTAGCTCCCAACCAACAGTGAACAGCCAAAAGCTCTATCTTCTTTGAAAAACAGTTAGGATTCTTTTTCCTTCTTTTTAACATGTTTGGTTCAGAAACACATCTTTGAAGTTGCAAAGATGAGCAGATTCCAATTGAGCTTTTTTTCTGAGACCTCCTCTTTTTCTGTTATGGAAAATCCTAAGCTCTCTAAATCTAAACCTCCCCCTTTAAATTTGCATTTTCTGTGCATTGTTATGATGAAAACCCTTGAGAGGTCTCGTGTATGGATCAATGACGATGTTCAAAGTCAACTGAACTCCATTCTTTGGCATAGATTGAGAGCAGAAACAGGATCAGGATTTCAATGTTTCCAATTCTGGCTGGCCAGATAAAGTATGTCATTTTTTGTTAACACTGCACACTTGATTTTGGATTATATTGGATTGTGTAGAGTTTGGTTTTTAAATTGTACCTTACCTAAATCTGCATACATGGAAGTGATGATATTAAAGAACTTGCTGATTAGAGGTGCAGAGGCTGATTAGAGGTGCAGAGCTTGGATATGTTCAATTTCGGCTTGCAGGGGTGGAGGACCAGCTTTGAGCTTGGCTTGACGAACCATCCAGCTTGAGCTTGACTTTATTTAGGGGAGGGAAGCTTGACCTTGGCTTGGCTTGACCCATTTACTGGGAAAAGCTCATTCACTGGCATGTCAAGCCATAAACAAGTCAAGCACAATCACATAAACAAGCAAAGGGGAAAAAAAAAAAGATATATTAATTTTAAAGTGAGGTCAATATATATAAAAAGGAAAATTATCCCGTCCACATGATGTGGATGTGGAAGGGTGCACACTGTTCCAATGGTTGAGAATTCACAAGGCCATATCTAAGAACTAATAATTGATCTCATATTTTATATTTTATTTTATTTAAATAAACATTTATCTGAATTTTGGTGTGTATGTTATTTTTATAAATAGAATTTAAAAGAAAATAATTAAAAATATGTTAATAAAAATTTGACCAAAATACCCCTAAATTTATTTTGATCTATTTTTTGTTGAAAATAAATTTTTTTATTATTTTTAAGTCATTCTACTTATAAAAATGAGGCTAAAACCCAAATTTCAAATCAATATCATTTTTAAATAAAATTAAAAACAAAATTTATTTTTAGGCCTTGGATGAGGATGGTTCAATCCGAACCATTGAAAGGTGCTTGTGCACCTTTGAGCATCCACAACATGTGGACGCAATACCAACCCTTACAAAAAATGAAATCTTTTTTTTTTTTTATTATAGAAAATGAAATCTTATAATAATATATTGAACAAGGTCAACGTTACTTGGCTTAGCTCGAGCTTGGCTTGTTTAAAGACGAACTAGTGGCTATGTTACCTGGATATCAATACACGTGCATGTTCCAAGCATGTTTCTTTGATGTCTGACACAACACCTTCAAATAAATGTGTAGAAATGTCCATGCAATTATTTTTATTAATTCAAAATATTAAAAATTTAAAATAAAATTTAAACTTTGTGAATCATATATAAAAATGTGTACAAAATAATTAAAATAATTAGAAATAAATCATAGAAATAGAAATGTTATATAAAAATGTATAGAGTATGGGTCTCGAATATAGAAGATGGTGCTTCCACCGTCTCCATAATTTCCAAGATACACGGAGAGGTAAATAACATACTTTATACATTAAATACGCTTAAACCATTTATTAAAATTCTATTTTGTTTCCCATTTCAAAAAATTTTGAACGTCTTATGGAAGTCAAGTGAAGCTTTATAGTTGATGTTGGCTAGCAGATTTGGCTTGTCGTGCTGAAAGATATGCTCAAGATTGTCTGAGCATATCAAGATACCATTGCACTGAGCCGGCACAGGAGCTGGTTTGGCTTGTTGACACCCCTAATCATTATCAAGATACCGTTGCTAGGATTTCTACTGGCATGTTATTTGTGTGCCTTTTTTCAGTGTTACATGTGTACCGACATGAGTGTCATGTCTAGTATGTTTCTAAAGTGTCTAGTACCCTGGCATAAAAAGCTAGTATGGCAAGACATATCCATACAAGTATTATTTTATTCCGCCTCCATAATTTCCAAGATACACAGAGAGGTAAATACCGTACGTTTTCCATTAAATATGCTTAAACCATTTATTGAAATTCTATTTGTTTCCCATTTCAAAACATTTTGAAACGTCTTATGAAGGTCAAGTGATGGTTTATAGTTGACATTGGCTAGCAGATTTGGCTTGTCGTGCTGAAAGATATGCTCAAGATTGTCTCTTTATTGGCTGAGCCGGCACAGGAGCTGGTTTGGCTTGTTGACACCCTAATCATTATCAAGATATTGTTGCTAGGAATTCTACCGGGGCGTTATTTGTGTGACTTTTTTTAGTGTTACATGTGTACCGACACGAGTGTCATGTCTAGTATGTTTCTAAAGTGTTTAGTACCCTAGCTTAAAAAGCTAGTATGGTAAGACGCATCCATACAAGTACTATTTTGAATAACATAATAGTGTTTTCTTTATATATATATATATATATATATATATACAACACACATATACATATACATATGTATACACATAAGATTATCTACACACACACACACACACGTACACACAACACACATATACACACAAGATAATGAGGCGGAGTGGTCAGTTTCATTGCTTCCATACAAGATGTCCCATGAACAATATTGTATTTTTTATGTTACTAGCAGTGTCGCCATGTACTGACACATGTCCAAGTGCCGACATGCCACACTAGGCCCCACATGGGGTGTCGGATTAACATTGCCCTTTTTTAGTGGTAATTTGTTGCAAATTTATTAGTCTTGAATATATTAAGCTACTATATTTTTTATGTAATAATTTTGTATTAAAGCATGAAAAATATGGACTTCAATCATACAATATTTGAGTATATGAATATGCTAAGGATAAATATGTGGTACCATTTTCCATCCACGTGTAATTTCACTTGAAAATTTATAATTATAAATCATCATATTGTCTCAGACCTCACTACGAGCGCTTGCATTTTTTTATTTTAAATTTAAATATCAAGATATGTTTATCTCTTTTTAGGTAAGTTGTCAATGCATTTCAAAATCGGACGGATTAATGGAAGATTGCCTTCTTATTCATTGTAAACCAGGATAACTTTCCATTAATGTATTTATCTTAGGTAACTTATATATCTCTTTTTATTTAGGAAAGTATATCAAAGTTGTTAGTTTCGCATCCGAGCGTGTTTTAGTTTATTTGGGGAAGAGAAGCGCTTTCGCACTTTGGCTAAGTAAATGGAAGATTTCATACTTTTGTTCCTTATTTTTTTTCTTTTAAATAAAAATACGCAATAAGAAAAATTCAAAGAAAACAATATACTTAATAAAAGCAGGAAAGAAATTGGGATTGTTTCAAAAAATTAAGAAAAATATAAAACAAAGCCTTTACAGGGCAATCACCCAAGTTTCATTAAATTTATATTTGGTTATGTAAATATTAACATATATGGATAAACCTGCCTATCGAAAGGGAAGATTAACATAGAACCCCTAAAATAAATGATTAATTAAATTTACTAAAAATTACAGTGGAAACTAAACTTGGTTTTGTAATGATAGTTACCTGCTTCCCAAGAAAATGAAGATTAAAATAAAATGCCAAATCAAGATTTAGCAGATATTTATCTAAATGAGCTGCTTACCAGAAAAAGTAGATTCATAAAATCCCCAAAATCACCACAATGCCTACTAGAATGAAAGTATTCTATAATGCTTTTAAAATGCTCAGACTTATCTTCTAAAAATTCTCAATTCAAAATTTAATACCTTGAAGTAATGAAAGCTATTGCTTGAGACTTGGAGAAATGAGAAAAAGGAAACACCCTTAAGAAAACTTAAAAAATGGAGAGAAATTGCTGGAAATCCACAAGAATTGGATTTTTGCTAGATTCACTTGGGCTACAAAGCTGAAGCTGTTTAGCCTCTGCATACGAAGTGAAGCAAATTCAACAATATTCAAGTCAATATTTCTTAAACAAGTAATTACGAAATTTCAATGGTCAGAATTTGGTAAGCAGTAATTACACCCAAATTGCCATTTTTAACTTTTGTCATCATATTATTGCCAAGGTTTTCTGCCAAGAGGTCAATGAGGAGCCACGAATACCATCATAATATCAGTTTATTCTAAATTCTTGCCAGAAATACCTTTTAGGGCAAGAGAATCCTGGTGAAATCAATTTGCTGGTGGTATTTGCTGCAAACTTTTGAAAAACGTACCACCTTTTATGATAATTTGTAAGGGCATATTTGGTAGTTTTATATTCAGCTAACAAAAATTTCAGTGTCTCTGGTATTATGTCTAGTTTCTCACCCTATTGACTTAAACAACTATGGGGCTTTCACTATAGAATCTTTCTTTATCCCTAGAGAGAGACATCCTGATCTGTACCTTATTCGTTTGCACTGTTGTGATGCCTTGCCCTTGTTCTCTGGTGGAGATTAACATGCTATTGTGGACAAGGGTTTTGAGTTCTCTTTGTAGTGGAAGAGATCATGCCTAAGATGTGTGACCTGTGAACCTGATCTTGATATCATTCCATGCTTTAGCGGGAGAGTACCTTTCCTAGAAAATGGTTTTCATTATGTTTGTTTTTGACGTGTGATGATAATAAATAAGAGGTTCCTGCCTTACTGATATTTACTCATATGGCTAGGGTTTTGTCTTGACTACTGTATGACTTATATTAAGGCAAGTCAAAAATATCTTTTCCTAGCTATATGCCTGATTATCTTCAATGACCTAATCCAAAATTTGATTCTCAAATCCTCCTGCCCATATATATTGTACTCGAGTAAACCACCAATGGTTTCCACCCTGTGTTCTCTTGTTTGCATAATTTGATGTATTATTTCAGGGATCTGCATTCTCTTCGTAGAGCCAACTATTTCCAAAAAAACTAGGTTGGCTTTATTCAAGGGCAAGTCTTTTTATCGTGTTTGAGTCTTCTCACTCATCACTGAATGGTAGTATGCACAACTGCCATCCCTATATTTTATCGTGATCGGGTCTGTTCTTCTCACCCATCACACAATTGGTAGAAAATGGCCATTAGTCTTAGAAATACCTAGTTCTCATGTTTGAACCAAATAACTGGTGCATAATAGTGAACAAAATGTAATAGAAAAAATGAAAGTGAATTCTCCAAAAAAAAAAGGTGTTTTTTTTAACTGCTAATGGTGTCGTATTGGATAGAAAGAGAATTACAAAGAGAAGAAAGGGGGTGAGGTTAGAGACCACCCACTAGATGTGGGTTCTAGTACAAAAAATAGGTGAACCACAGAGTGATGGCCCTATACAAAAAATTGTGTTACAGTTGTGAAACTTTGAAATGCATGAGTAGACCTATCAATTGTTGAAATGCTACCAGGGAATCTAGTGCTCAGTATGGGCTGTTGGGACATCTCTTCCTACCAATGTTCAAAGCATAGAGGGAACTATAGTGCAAATATTTATATGGTATAATACAATCCTAAGCTTACCCATAAGAAAGAAAATCATTACGTGGGCTTTGATAATCTCTCCCTGCTAAATTCTTTCAAACCTCTTAAATCTGTTTTATGCATTATTTCTTTTGGCTAAACTTTTCAATGTTTTTATAAGCAGGGCAGCTTTTATGTGTGGGAGAGAACCAAATTTCGAGCTCTCAGAGGAGGAGAAGGAAGAGTTGCGCCGTTTCAATTGGGATGACTTCCTGACAATGACACGTAATGCCATAACAAACAAGAGTAAGAAACCATCTGATCCTGTGGACGTAATTGTTTCTTCTCGTTTGTGATTTGCAAACACAATCTCACAGCATATAATGCACATTACATACCATCATTTTGGTGTGGCTGGCAAAAATATATGGTGGTGGTACCATTATGGCCACCGGCATTATTGTCAGGCGACTCCTAGCCATCATATCAAAATTGGGCAGCCAACTACTGCCTCTGGACACATAAAAGATGCCCCAAAGAAAGGTTTACCACACATCTGTTATAGTATATATTTCCATGGATGGTGGAGATGAGTCATGATTTTCTGAAGTGGGCATTGGTGGGCTTAAGTGAAGGAAGTGGTGGCCTCCCCTATCCTTTGTTGAATATGGATGTGGGAATGATATTAATCACCGGTATAAGCATCTACCATAGTGTACTTTCCTAGGCAATATACATGAACAAATGAGTTTTGCTACTTGTTAGTGAGTTTTGGTCGGAAGGATGATATTTTTTTTCTCGTTTTTCCTTTTTTGTTTTTATGTTGTTTAGAGCACCAAAAGAAAATCGCTAATGGGATGCGAAGGAAACAGGCAACCAATATGCAACCATGCAACCAAAGTAATGGCCAAGCTGCCCAGGCACTATCGGCCCCTATGGAAGAAGGCAGACATGTATTCATCTCCTGATTATCTTTCCTTAAGGTTTGAAATCAGATTGGGATTAGTGTTTAGGGTTTAGTTAATTTTCCTCATTGTTTTTTCCTTTATATAAGGCCCCTATTAGGGCAGAATGATTGCTGAATGCAAAATTGGTTGACAAGAGAACCTTGATATTCTTAGTCTAATAAATTGTCTGATTTTGTTCTCTCTCTCTCTCTCTCTCTCTCTCTCTCACACACACACACACACACACAATACAAAAACATTGGTAGTGGCATTTACATTTACTTTAAGACGATTATGTCCTATTGGGATGGAGTAGTTATTAGGGAATAAGACCGTTCTCTCCCTTACCCATTTGGGAGCGAAAGGAGGGGTAGCTTGGTCTCCTCTGCTATTTAGGGGAGAGGCCCTTTCTTTTAAATGGCCTCAAACTTGCCCCCCCACAACCAACCCCAAAAAAAAAAGAGAGGAAAAAAAGGGACAGAAATTAGTTGTTTTCAAATGACCCCATTGCTTAATGAGAGGTTCTTAGGCTGCCCAAACAGGGTCCTTAATTTCCACTTGGTATTTTAGTAACTACACCCAACACATCACAGAATTCCTCCCCAATATTGTTGTTTCAAACGTCTTAACTCACACCCTCTAGTTGTCAGTCAACTGGTATCCCTTGACATTTTTGTTGTGATTCCTGGAAAAGGTTGGTGCAAGACCTATCCTCCTTACTTTGATGACTCTGAAAACGATGGTGCCATTGATTTACATTTGCAAAAGCAATGGGAATTGTGGTTGCCAGATTTAATGATTAACTACCCCAACGTTTTTCAAATAATTTGTTTAACATGCAGAAGGCTTGAGCTTCTTAAACACAAGCTGTTTTTATGTAACATTAACTTGCCTTTAGGCTCTCTCAATTCGGAAAGCAAAGTACAAGCAGTTCAAAGGTGGCACAAACTCCCTCACGAAACATGCAGTCGTGCCTATTCCTAGCAGCTATACTTAATTTTGTAGATCCCATGATCATTATCTTGTCCTATTGATGGCTCGCGTTTCTTTTGAGTAAAATTGCTTGTTATGCTTTTGTATTGGGTTTTGGTGTCCTAAGACTCCATGGTGCTAAAAGAGAGGAAACAAGGCAAAAAAGATGTTGATCCTGATAGTACTGGTCCCTTACTACTTGTTGGCATATGGTCAAGGTTGCCAATGGATAGTAGATGGTTGATATTACTCCTTCAGCTCCCAAATATTTCTAACCTTCCCTGATTAAAGTTGGACTACGGGAGGACTCCGATGCCATTTCTCCTCTGCAGGAGCAGTACTCCAAGATCCCTGAATGGAGCTGTGGTGGTTGAGAGAATATGACAAGCCACCGGGAATCCATCTCCGAAATAGGACAAGGGTTATTCTCCTAGACTTCGTCTATGAGAGACTAGTAATCAGAAATTCTTTTGCTACCTTCGAGGAAGCCGACCGATTGCACAAAGAATACCTGAAAGACCTCTATAGAAGACTCTGGTTGGGCCAATATGACTGAAATTGAAGGATGGGAATAAGGAGTGATGGGCATACAAGGCGACGACCACTCCTCACTTCTAGATTTGGCCTCTAGAGGCCAAATAGCAACAACTAGGAGGTCCAATTTGACTTGAGCTTGAGGGGGAGAACACGAAGTCTCCTCTTTTCCCAACATTTGCCATCTCTATTATGAAGGGGATGAAAAGAAGCTGCTAATCTAATCTTATCTGAAGAAAACTCAAACCAAGATCTTCTTTACTAGCAATTAAATTGGACCAATACTGCAATGAAGGACATCAATCTAAAGGTAGAAGAGCATCTGGACAAGCAGGTCAAGAAATTAATCCTTTCCATGGACAATTTCAAAAGACTAATTCCTCAATTTCACTAGATCCACAAATAGCCTAAGGTAACCCTCTCTCTGAACACTGGCCTTCATACAAGCAAGGACCCAGGCAAAGCAGCCTAAAGATGAAGGAGCCAATGCATCCTTTGGCACAAAAGTCAAGGAAGTGGGCACCAAGCGACCTTTTCTGCTTCTAGGCAAGTGGAAGCAATGCATGGTGGAGACTCTGATTAAGAAACAGTTAGGACGACTCCTAGACTAGTTTTATACCAATAATGACAGGTCATATTGCTTTAAGGGATTCAGTTGATTCATTCATGATTTCCAAAGAAAGCTAGCCAATGTCCATTGACCTAACTTACGAGAATCTCATTCTCTTCCAAGGGGAGTTCAACTTTAGTCATTCTCCTTGGTCAGTTGATAGCCATAATCCCAAACAGATTAGTTAGTGTTTGAGTTTTATGGTTGCAGCAGCCAACGCTCATCTTGCTGAGGAAAAATCTCAATGCTACACCCTCAGTCTTCTCACTCAGGGTCTCTTGGGAACTCTGCGGTGCAGGTGGAATCAGTTTGACAGAAGACGAAAGGACGACACAAGGCTGAAGGAGATTGGGACAACAGAGACCGATATGGTATTTATGGATGAGAAATTCCTATATGATCAAAAACCTACTTGCTACCATTCGAATTCACTTCTACTGTTCCAGGGAAGATTTGCAGCGTAAATAGACGAGCAATATTGGCTATGTCCATCTCCTCCCTAACCGAATACAACTGGTACAAGTTCATCTTCCTCGAGTGGGTGTACCATTTACTAGATAACCAGAAAGCTGTCTCGATGGAAAAACTCCTCCAAGGCAGCCCTTAAAAAGCTTGGGGAATGAGTCTGAAAACATTTCAAGGGAGATGACATGGATAGAATTAGTTATAGATGCCCCTTTGTGATGTGTTATGTGCAAAAATCTGAGGTGAGATGACTCGAAGTCTGCCCCACCTCGATTAGCATGAAACAAGATCAATTAAAATGTCGATACACAGAGAGAGTTCCATTGAATTATGGATTGCAGATGGTTAGCCTCAAGGCTTTGCTTTTGCAATTCATTGGCCTAGAAAAGAAGCTCACTTGGTGCGGGCTGGGCGCATAGGCCTGGCATCCAAAGTTGGTACCCGGATCAGACAGAGAATATAGAGGCAGCCTTCTCCTCGGTCCTTGAAGGTCCATGAACTAGAGACTTGAACTTGAAGAAGGGAGTACTTAATAAAAGGATTAGAACCTAGAATAGCCTAGGGATTCATCTTGAACTTGAAGGGCCTCAATTAACTTAAAGGCTTAGAGGGTAATTGAGTTTAATATTGACATTCTTGTTCTTGTAAAGAGAATGACTTGATCGATGCTTGCTCTGTGCTTAGCCCTAAATAGGATCTTAGTGCATCAATGGAAGATAGCCAATTCCAAGCTTTCAAGCCAATGACCATTTTAAGTTTAGGATTTAAGGTTTAAGGTTTAGGGTTCAAAGTTTCCATTTCTACCTGGGCATTCAACTAGTATCAAAGCCAACTTCTTGTTGTTATCTTTGGGTTTCTCACTTTAAGATCTAGGGTTGTGATTTTAGGATCTGGGCTGCTTTGAACCTACCCTGCTTTTCTTGTTTTTTTTTTTTAGGTGAGTCAGTGGGGGGGGGGCTCTACCTTTGATAGGAATTGAGCCTAGGACGCAGCGTTACAAATTATCAAGCACTAACTAATTAAGTCCTGGCTCTTTTTCAAGCACTAACTAATTAAGCCCTGGCTCTTTTTCTAAAAAAGTGGTAAGTAAGTGGGGATTTAGGCCTCTATCTTGGTAGGAGTTAAGCCTAAGACGCAACATTGCAAATCATCAAGCGCTAACCAATTAAACTTGAGCTCTTTTCTAAAAAAAAGTGATAAGTCCGTGGGGATTTAGGCCCCTACCCTGCTTCTCTTGTTTCCATCCATAATGTGGGCTTGCATTAAAGAAGAGAATGGGACAAAGTCTTGCTTCTTGTCTCGTTTTTGCAAGAGGAATTCAAGAAAACATTAAATACATAGGTACCATACTATTCACTTACACACCTCGCCTTTTGGGATGGCCGGATGGGAACCTGTTATAGCTAGCAGATGGGTGCATATTGCAGAAAATGTGAAAAGATTTTCAAAATATTATGTACTCCCTCAAGGATCTAAGAGTATTTCATGGCACAAATTTTACAGATGTAACCTTTTCAACCTAGTGACCAACTTCAAAAGAAGGAAAAGATAAAAACATATGCACTTTGTTTGTCCATAAAACATAACATCCTAAGATTAATTAGATATCGGACTGCTTAATCATAGTGATCGGATACCATTGTCCACTTTATAGAAATGTTGATCTAGTTATTCTAAAATGGATAAAAAAAAATTTAAATTCAACAAAGTACTCCTATGTTTTTTTACCTAAGTGAGCAAGTATACATTGCACTTCTGGGAGAACACATTATACGAGCTCTATACAAAATTTCGGGAGAAATATATCGTAAGACCTTTTACCTTTGTTTTCTAGACTTTATATGGAAAAATGATAAACACTCCAGCCTCCCAACCTGATTTTATAGAAGAAAACTAGGTGTGATTGTGACATTTATTTAATTTTTCTGGATAAAAGCTAAAGATGATTGTGATTTTTGTAATAAAGATAAATTTATTGCTTACGATCCAAAATTTCAACTTCTTTATGCTATCATTACTGTTGCATTTGTGGAAGAGCATGTATAACTGGCTCCCATGAAGGATACTGTACATCAACTCCCTTAGAGAAAAGAGTAACTTTGGAGGATTTTTTTATCGAAATTTTACGATACATATCATAGAATGATTATTTAAAAAAAAAAAAAAGATTTTAAGTACTTGAACACCTAGATCTTGAGCTCTAAAAACTTGATGGTTCTTGTTCAATCTTAGGACATTAATTTAGCCGTGCCCTAAAATTTTTACTATTGGGTCGGCCCATTCAAAAGAGGTTAAGGTCCTCAGCCTTTTGTTGATAGCAGGAGAAAACGTCCAGTCACGACCCTGCTCCCTACCGTCCCCACTGGACTCTGAAGGGATAGGCCTGGCCTAGTCCCATGAGGTTGGTTTAGGCCCAGCCTGGCCCGACTTTTACGGGGCCAAAAAAGACCTAAAGCCAGGCTGGGCAGGTCCAAATAAACTAAAAATAAAAAATAAATGAAATAAAAGCCCAGGCCGAGATCACACCTAAACAAAACAAATGAAAAATTGAGCACCTAGGCTTGATTTTTTGGATCGTTACAAAGAATGATTCACCCAAGTCCGACTAAGAATTCGCCAC